TGTGAATAGACAGTGCATTTATGATGCGACTTAGGTGATATCATTATATATTTTGTTCCGGTATTCATAATAACATGTTGAAAGCATTAACGGTTCTGTTTTGTTATATAAACTTAAAGTTGAATTAGTGGATTTACTTTCTCAAAGGTGTATTTTTAAAATGGATCAGTAATTTTATTGCTTTTTTTCGAAGGTATAAATAGATTTAATGGAGTCACCAATGTGTGTATTCAGATATTTGGATATTTACTACACCCTTGCGGGTTTGATGTTTGAATAATTTTATAAGTGAGATAAAAGGTGGATTTAATATTCATGTACACATGCTTTTTATGTTGGATTTTAAATTTGCGTGTTTTTATTTCTTATTCCTCAACTGTTGAACTATGTTTTTCTGTTTATAATTTAAAGAAATGATACAGAAATGTGTATGTGTTATGGAAATTTAATCATATTCGTCAAGGTTTTTTTAAGTTTTAGGAAAAGTAAATTGTATTCTTAAATTTCAAATTTATAATTTCACAAAGTATTTCATACAGATCATATGCACCAGTCATTTGTGGCCATGGTTCCAGGCCTCACCCTTGGGGAAGACACTGCATTGATAGTTTGTCTGTCTGTCTGTCGCACTTACGGTACAATGCTGTGGATTTGTTTTTGTGCAAAATGGGCAGGGGGATATGTCAAATTTGAAATGCAGGCAAGGGCATTTAAAGCAGAGATTTAACTGTTTGACTGGGTAATTTCCAGGAGCTTGATTACAATTATGCCAAATTACCATGCAATAGACTAAGCCTAGTTTGAAACCTTTAAGTTTTGCACAAATATGCCATAATTAGGCTTAATAACTTCTATTGATTCAAAATTTGTGAACAAGTGTTATTAATTTGAAACCATATATTTTTATTTTTACAGTTAAAAGAATTTAAAGGCACCAATAAGAAAATTTAGAACTTTGATACTAAGTTTGCATGAACTAGACTAAAGTTTTGATATTTTTAAAACTTTTGAAATGCTGAATTTCTTAATGCTACAATGAGTGGAGAAGAAAGTGATTATGTTATAAATATAAAAGCAGAATATAAAGATATTGATAGTTCAATAGAAAAGAAAGCTCGGAATAGAATGGTGGCGGAGGGATACAAGTATCATATCCTTGGTGATAAGGAAGATCCTGGTGTTCTAGGTAAAAATAATAAGTTCTCGTTTATTTCTTTTGTTTTATAAGTTGTAATTTTAAAGCAGCTGGCCGTCAGATTAATTTACTATTTCATAATTAATACAACCTAAATATTATGTTTTGTTTAATTTTTAACATAATAATTTTTTTGTTTTTAAAGTAAAACCCTTAACTTTTAACATAAACAATTCAATTTATAGTCAGTATATGGCACTAGGTATCATGAAACATGTAGAATTCATGTCCATAGATTATTTTCCTGCCAGTGCCAAACCCAGCTGTTACAAAATCAAAGTACCAAGCCGTCAGATCAAAATGAAATTTAAATATATTTGCTAATATTTCATACCATTCATGCTGATTTTAATGAAAATTTTAAAAATTGTTCTGATGAGTATAAAGTTAATGTTTGTCAAGTGTACAAGTTAAGTGATTTTACCTTGCCTTAGGCTCCTACAATAGCCATAACTCTATTAGTATAAAACTTGGTAGAAATATGAAAAAAAAAAATTCTGTCATATTTTGTATAAAGTATTCAGTATTATGTGGGACTGCATTTGATGTATACATTTCTTAAGCTATTTGAGCCTCGTCACGACAAAACCAACGTAATGTCTTTGCGACCAGCATGGATCCAGACCAGCCTGCGCGTCCGCGCAGTCTGATCAGGATCCATGCTGTTCGCTTTCAGTTTCTCTACTTGTTATAGGGTTTGTAAGCGAACAGCATGGATCCTTATCAGACTGCACGGATGTGCAGGCTGGTCTGGATCCATGCTGGTCGCAAACCCATTATGTTGGTTTTGTCATGACGTGGCTCATTTATACATTCTGAATATGTTTGATTACCTTATTTATCTGAAGGCTTGCTGCTTTAAGCATGATAATAGTTCATTTTATCTTTGTTTTTAACCCTTAATACCATGCTAAATATATATTAGAATTATGTACATGTACTTGTCAATCTTTCAATCCAGACAAAACCATTCAACATTAATAGAGACTTTTTCAAAATATTTAATGACTGAATAGCGAACAGTGCAGACCATTATCACACAACACATGACCTGCCGGCTGATCTTGGTCTGCACTGGTGGCATGAGTTACTGAGATTCCTTTGAGGCTTGCATTTTAAGGTTATTTAAACCACCATTGCATAGATTGAAGTTTTGTCATCAACGTTGATCATTTATTGGTCAGTCAGTTTATAACCAGTCTATCAGTCAGTGTTTTAGGATATCTTACACTCTTAATATTTTTAAGATTTTGAAATTATTTCATAAATTTTAACATTAAATTTAATAGATATGTTCTTTGTTTGTTTTACAAGTTTCCAAAATTGTAGAATTGTAATTGTAGTGCAGTACTCAAGCAAAGTAATGGTAATGCATTATCTTACAAAAATAGTAATGAAGTAATTAGTAATTGTAATAAGATAAACTGTAATATACTGGTAAGTGTACTATATTATTAAAGTTATTGATCTCTTATCTGTCTGATTCAACTACACAATTCTGAGAATAATCAGGCACACTGTCTTATACTTGTTTCAAAGACACATTTTAAAGATGTCTAATTTTAAGAACTGAGAATTGTTTTAAGTACATGTCTTGTTAGGCGTGTCTTGATAATACAGTTAAACCCTACCAGAAAGACTACTACTGATACTGTCTAATGAAATGCTTTTGATAGCAGGTGGTCTTTATAAAGGAGCATGGACCTCCCTTCCAGTTAGCTCGATAGGTAGAGCGTTGGACTGTAAATCTGGCGACCCGTGGTTCGATTCCCGGAAGGCGCAGGTCACTTTTGTTTTGATTGATCATGAAATCCTTTCTACAGTCATTTGCACTGTACCTCTGCTCTTGCATGTACAGAAGTAATCTGAGTTCCTTGCAAAAGTGAGGGCAACTAGTACTGGTTAACTGCTTGACAGCCTGCCCAGGAACGATGTGGTGGAAGAACGGGTAAATTCAATGTAGCTTACTGCCGCGATCCGTAGTGAAAACTACCAACACCACCACCACTCCCAGTGTTTATTCTTTTGTTCTTCATACAGAGACTATGTAGTTTTTTGACATGCACCAGAAACTTTTCTTTGAATTTTTTGTAGTATTTGATTTAAATGGGGACAAATTACTAATATATCATGTGCTCACTCAGTTTTTCCAGAATAATGATTTAAATTGTAAAAATGACCTAAAAATGAAAAGCGTTTGAATGTGTTTAATTCAATTTGGGCTAAAAATAGCACAAAATATGATTTTTAATTTTATTCTGAGTATATTTCTTTAACATCTTTCTGTTTGAGGTGCATGCTTTGATCTATGTAAGAAATTCAAATGTTTAGGCTTTAAGACCTCAGTGGAGTTTCTTTGATAATATTATTAAGGCTGATTTTTTCTTTAGATAATGTTGTTTGTGTTATTTCGAGGGTTTCATTTATTGTTATATATTTTATACATGTATATAACTGTGTTGTCTAACTTCAATTGTTCATATTTCATAGAAGTAATTAAAGAAGACTATTTTCAGCAGCTTGGACATTCTATACAATTTAAAGCAATCTTATACCCACAAATATATGTAAATCGTTTTAATTTTCTCAATTTATATATTTACCAGCTGTGTCTCATATTAAATATACCAGTTCATGTTTTGTTTGATACATAGTTTGTGGTTGAATAACTTGGTTGAATAACTTAACTTTTGCATCCATATTCTAAAAAAACGACTGTTTGTTTAATAACCAAGTCTAATGTATTTACATTATGTATTTAAGATAATAAACATTAAAATATGTTATTGGGTTATGGCACAATTTAGTTTGTATATTTGGTGATAAAGTTAATGCATACAATAGAGGGTCAATAAAGTAGTGTCAGAACATATGGTAAAACAATGGGTAATACTTGTAGGTTACTCAACATTTAATTGTACAATATGGGAATGTATCTGTTACATGTACATATCTGGAAAAACCATATTGGACGAGCCACCACACAAGTGTAATATGATTTCTAAAGCTGTGTACGAGTCCAAATATATCCCCATATTGTACTTGTTTATTGTTTAATAACCTGCTTATTCTATATCCAAATTACATTAGGAAACATAATATTGTTCAGCATTGAAGTTGCAAGATGTTTGCACCACTCTTAGTAGAATTTGTTCGGATACTTTTATCATGAACGGCTTTTATCGTAGACGTTACATGTAAAAGGCCAAACACACTTAAAATTGTCCGATATAAGATAATCATATTACATGCTACAGTAGACAATATGGATATATATTGGATGATCATGTGGTACAATATCAAAGCAATGATTGGATTTTAATAATGGATGTACAATAAAAGCATTGTATTATGCTTTTTGCAAAATTAAATTTTTGCTTTCCATTATGATCTGATATATTGTAAATATTTTCTCATACGGATAACTATTTGGGTACAAATGGTATGAAAAATCATTCATTGTTTTTGTGATCTAAAATTAATAATTTATCATTTAATGGTATTTATGGTTTGTGTGCCAATGAAATCCCTCTATTTTGTTTAAATTTTGCCGAAATATTTACCATACAGTGCTGTTACTAACTCAACTGTATGTAGTAAATTTAAAATTTATATGTTAAATGAGCTGATTTAATGGGACTCCGCCTCTTTACATAATGCACTTGATTTGATTGGGCAGGGCTAACTGTAAACTTAACAAAAATTTTTTTTTTTTTTAAATAAGTGCATGTATAATTGTCCAACATTTAGGTAACCACATATATGTAGTATTTATTCTAAATATATTGTCATTTTTTTCTGACAGATCCAATAGAACAAAAGGAAAGTTCGAGACATCGTCGACAGAATGACAAGTTGAAGATTCTACTAGTGTTTGGTGTAATACTGCTCACTTGCCTAGTGACTGTGATCATCTTTCAACATTTTAGAACAAAGAGTATAATAGACAAGGTAAAAATCATTTAACATACACATGAAAACTAGGCAGTGAGAAAATAAATTTACATTAATGAAATAATTATAAAATTGGAAATAATAGAACTTTGATAAATAAATCTATATACATGTACAGACTGGTTTGTGTATAGTGTTTTTTTAGCTCATCTATTTTAAGATAAGGATCATAGCTGTACTCACCCCTGCTTCTGTCAGAGACACATTTTGGTTAACTTTTTTTTTTCGTGCCAGTTTGTATCTCATAATCTACTGAATGGATTGAAACTTCACACACTTATATGAGAGTTTAGTAGAAGGTCACTGTCCAAGGCCCATACCTCTTCACATGGATTTTGACAGAATTATGGCCCTTTTTGCAACTTCTACATTATCCAGACTCTTGTTTTACTGTCATACACTGAGACAAGTCAAGCATGCTGTCCTCAACTGACAGCTCTTATTAAAAATATTGAATAAATTAATGGAATTACATCTTAAATTGTTTTCAATTGATCTTATCACAAAAGTTTTCGCTGTTTTGGATTATATATCAGTTCAAATGAGAATGCAAATCTTCAAAGGTTCATGTTGTTGTGACAGTTTGACATTAACAACAGTTATCTAGGTCACTGTATGGCATATATTCTCAAAGGTTGTTTGCATTACCTTACCATGTCAGAACTATCCACCCACTTAAATTTTTTTTTTACCTGTTGATGGGACCATAAAGTTTTGGCTGAGATTTGATTTCAAGCCATATCATAATATCTTTAACATTCCTACTGGCTGCTTTCCATTGCTTGGCACAGATGCTATCAATTGGAAACACTAGCTCTCGTGTCATATATCTATAACAAGATGCAATAAATATATTTTCTTTAGGCAATACTGTATGGAAATTGCACAGAGGTACAAGTTAAACCTTACCACCATGACCAGAACATGACTAATGAAATGCATGTGATTGTCACCCTTATCCATACTTCAACAAAGAAAAATGAAAAAAAATAAATTATATTCAAGTCTTAATTTGAATGCATGAAATTTTTTTATTATTTAGAGGAATTTTATATTATTTTAATAGGTGTGTACAACAGAAGAATGTGTAAAGGGGTCAGCATATATTGTAAATAAGATGGACAGCAGTGTTGACCCCTGCAAGGATTTCTACTCTTTCTCCTGTGGTAATTGGGAGAAAATGACCGCCATTCCTCCATCAAAGTCAAAGTATGGTTCTTTCTCCCAAATATCAGATGAGATTACCAAGAAGTTAAAAGGGGTAGGTAGTATTACGAAATTATGGAATCAGCATCTAATAAAATAATTGTTCCCTTATCATCCCCCCAAACAAACCCCCATTACAATTTTAAAGGTATATACTTGCCAGTTTTTTGCGTTTAAGCAATTACTTAGTAATGGTTTTGGGGTCGTATTACATTATTGATTCAAAACAAAAGTAACTAACAAAAGGATTGGCCCCTTGAAATTCATTTTTGGTAGAATGTTAGTCCCTTTGCTGTATTTTACAATACCATAGTCACATATTTTCCAATATGTAATGATATTCGATGTGAACAATGCATGGGGCTCTTCCTGTTGATAAGGTTTTTATAAATGGTCAACATGTCCAGTTACAACTTTATTTTGTTGAATCTGTGAGAATCTAGGTCAGATAAATAATACTTATATTTCCTTATGGTAGTGGTAGATCATCATCACAAAAACCAGGTTTTCTTGCAATACTACACATGTGAAAAATACACCCAAACAACAAAATTAATGGCCTTAATTTTGCCCCAAAAAAGATCAAATCACAAAACAAGGACAATGTGTGCGATAATACATGTAGTTTTGTGAAAGTTTGGTTGAATGATTGCAATCCGTTGTTTCCTTGAGCAAGAAACTCTACATTCGTTGCTTAGTACTGGTTGGTTCCAGGAAAGGATTGGAGAGACAGTTTCAATAAACTTATACATTGTACCTTCCTACACAATTAAACTAAAGTAAATTTGTATAAAATAAAGTTGGTTTGAAGTTTCTATAGAAATGAAAGAGTTGTTGCACTTGTAAGAAATTGTTTAAGCGCAACTAACTACAACTGTACACAAAACTAATGGCCAGTTTATGCCTGCGTAACACCTGGTTAATAAAATCAGCTTATTAAAATGTGAACATTTGCTTTTAGACCTTTTCTATCCTTATAAAGTTGTAAAATGACACCAGGTGGTTAATACAAAGTGTACAATACAGATTCATATAAAAGATTAGTTCAATATGACACCTACATTTTATTGGTTTTATATTCAATAACAAAGGAAATTATATGGTGTTAAATTATCATATATCAGTCTGTTTCTATTGAAGAGTTTTCATTATTGAATATGATAGATACTGTATTTGTAATATGAAGGTTCCTATCTACTGAGAAGTTTCTCTAAATTCACCTTATTTAGTTTCTTGTTTATATATTATAACTGTAATTAAAGATGCTTTTAAATTTTCATCATAAAAAAAACAAAAACAAAACAGTTCTAATCTGAGGACCTAAGCCTTAGAGTAAAAAGTCGGAAAACCAGACTTTCTTTAAACTGGACCCTCTGTAAACTGGAATCCTCTGAAAACCGGACTTCTTTAAAAGTCCAAATATTTCCGCTATTATGTTTATTGAAACATATCTAAAGTCCTGGACCCTCTTCAAAATGTTTTTAATTTGTTGGGAATTATTTTTAGCTCACCTGTCACAAAGTGACATGGTGAGCTTTTGTGATCGCTTTTCGTTCGGCGTCCGTCCGTTTGTAAACTTTTACTTTAAACAACATCTCCTCATAAACGGCTAAGCCAATTTCTTCCAAACTTCACAGGAATGTTCCTTTGGTAGTGAACTTTGAAAATTGTTCAAAGAATTTAATTCCATGCAGAACTCTGGTTGCCATGGCAACCAAAAGAAAAAACTTAAAAATCTTCTTTAAAAAAAACCTATAGAGCTGGAGCTTAAATATTTGGCACAAAACATCATCTAGTCAGAGTCTACCAATTTTGTTCAAATAATAGCCCTGGGGTCAAAATTGGCCCAGTCCCAGGGGTCATTGATTTTCCTTATTTGTATATAGTGAAAACTTAATAAATCTTCTTTTGAAAAATTCAAATAGCTATAGCTTAGATTTTTGACATAAAACATCTTCTGGTGGGTGTCTACCAAGTACCAAGTTTGTTCAAATAAAAGCCCTAGGGTCAAAATTGGCCCCGCCCCAGGGGGTCATTGTTTTCCCTATATGTATATAGTGAAAACTTACAAAATCTTCTTTTAAAAAACCTATATATCTAGAGCTTAGTTATTAAGCATGAATCATCTTCTAGTTGGTGTCCATAAAGTTTTTCAAATAAAAGCCCTAGGGTCAAAATTGGCCCCGCACTGGGGGGGTCATTGTTTTTCCCTTTATGTATATAGTAAAAATTTACAAAATCTTCTTTCAAAAAACCTAAATATCTAGAGCTTAGTTATTAAGCATGAATCATCTTCTAGTGGGTGTCCATAAAGTTTTTCAAATAAAAGCCCTAGGGTCAAAATGGCCCCGCACTGGGGGGGGGGTCATTGTTTTTCCCTTTATGTATATAGTATAAACTTAAAAAATCTTCTTATAAAAACACAAAGAGCTAGAGATAAGATATTTAGCATAAAACATCTTCTAGTGGGTGTCTACCAAGTTTGTACAAATAAGGGCCCTGGGATTAAAATTGGCTCCGACCCAGGGGTCATTGATTTTCCTTATGTGTATAGTAAAAACTGAAAAAAATCTTCTTTTAATAACTCAAAGAGCACCAAGCATGAAATATCTTCTAGTGAGCGTGTAACAAGTTTGTTAAAATAAGATCTCTTGGGTCAAAATTGGCCCCACCCGGGAGGGGGGGTCATTGTTTTTCCCTATATGTGTATAGTAAAAACTTAAAATATCTTCTTTTGAAATCCCCAAAGCGCTGGAGAAAATATCTTCTTTTAAAATCCCCAAAGCACTGGAGCTTAGATTTTTATCATGAAATATCTTTTAATGGGTGTCTACCAAAATTGTTCAAATAAAAGCCCTTGGGTTAAAATTGGCCCTACCCCAATGGCCTATATACAGGTGAGCGATTTCAGGGCCATCGTGGCCCTCTTTTTTTTTTTTGTTAAATGTAGAAGGGACATTGTACACTTTTTTTCACAGTTAATTTATGCTAACTCCTGAACAAGGTCCAAAAGTCTTAAAACCAAAAATTTGAATTTCTTACATAGATCTTGAGGACTTTTTTAAACAAAATAAAATACAAAAGAAATATCACACAAATGGTATGATAAAGTCTTCCCTCACCTGCATAATACTCCTTGATCTGTAGGTCACCATTTGGTCGTTACAGTGCCAGTTTGACTAAGTGTTTGTGCTATTTTAAGTTCCTCCCCCCACCCCAACGCCCTCCCGAAAAAAATAATTATAAAGGATCTTATACATGTATTTAAATATTTAATGTGACGATTTATTTACATGTTATATTTATTTACATGTTATATTTTTTCAATACTTGTATAACTGTATTGTAAATTGTGTATTGCAGATTATGGAGCAGAAAGAGATCTTGTATAAAGGTGTAAAATCACGGGCAATACACAGTGCCAGGACCCTGTACAACATGTGCATGGATCAACAACAAATTGAACAAGATGGTATAGACCCTATATTAAAGGTATCACTTTACTTCTTTCACCTTTTACACCACCTTGTGTATGTTTGAATGGCAGTTGTAGTATATTGAATGTTTAATTTATGTTTTATCTGTGTGATTTGTTCATCTGAGGATAACTTAATTTTTACCTTGGCTTTATATAAGCATCTGTATTCAGTAAGCTATCACATTCATTGTGAACAACTGCCTCATTTTGACATTGAATTATGGCTGTGAAAATTTAAAGATGGACAAGTCCATTTAAGATATTTAGCATAAAGAGTTATTTGGATATTTTTGCTTTAAACTAACCTTACTAGTACAAAATAGCGTGGATATAATTATAAGGTTATTTAACTTTGCAATATAGCTTTTATTCTGATTTTGAATATCTCATTGATTTATTTTTCAGTTGATTGATGACCTTGGCAGCTGGGATATGACACCAGGTACGTTTGACTCAGATAAATGGAACCTTCCAGATGCTATACTGTCAAGTCACATTTATGGGTTCGGTCCATTTTTTGGGATGGGGATATCAACAGATGAGAAAAATAGCAGTAAACATATGATAAAGGTAAGTCCGGTTTATTTTTAATGTAGCTTCTTATGTAATCATGCCAACCTGTTGGTACAGCCTTATGTCGGTGTTTATGTGTGTCAAAACATATTCTCCTGTTCTAGGAAGCATTTTATAGGGGCTTCTGTGACTGAGTGGTAAATGTCTTTGACTTTAAACCATTTACCCTTCACAGCTGTGGGTTCAAATCCGGCTTTGGACTTTTGATTCTTTTATATTAAGAAGCTATTCAGCTAGCTTACAAAACATAACTAGAACTGCCACTGTCATGGTGTGAATACCTCCGCATTCCACTTTGTCAGAATCAACAGTGACCATTGAGAGCTCAAAGACAACCTCCTTGCAAAATCTTAGGGACTAAGCCAGTGCATTGCTAAGTTATGTATTCTACATGCTTCAAATGTGAAAATGTCAAAATCAATACACTGCAGACAGGCATTCTTAAGCATTTGAGCAGACAAGCTTATTATAATAAAATCCATGTGACCTTGACCTTTGACACAGTCCCCTAAAAATCAAAAGGGGTCATCTACTAGTCATAAACAACCTTAATACCAAATATGAAGACTGTTGATCAAAGCCTTCTTAAGCAATTGAGCGGACAAGCTTTTTGAAGTCAAGGCCCCTGTGACCTTGACCTTTGACCCAGAGACTTGAAAATCAAAAGGGGTCACCTAATGGTCATGATAAACCTCCATGCCAAATATGAAGACTGGGTCAAAGGATTCTTAAGTTATTGGGCGGACAAGCTTTTTGAAGTCAAGGCCCTGTGACCTTGACCTTTAACCTGGTGACCTTAAAATCAATAGGAGTCATCTACTAATCGTGACTAACCTCCATGCCAAATATGAAGACTGTGGGTCAAAGGATTCTTAAGTTATGGGGCGGACAAGCTTTTTGAAGTCAAGGCCCCTGTAACCTTGACCTTTAACATAGTGACCTCTAAATCAAAAGGGTCATCTGCTAATCGTGACCAACCTCCATGCCAAATATAAAGATTGTGGGTCAAAAGATTATTAAGTTATAGGGTGGACAGCTTTTTGAAGTCAACCTTTGACCTGATGACCTCAAAATCAACAGGGGTCATCTACTAATTGTGACTAACCTCCATGCCAAATATGAAGACTGTGGGTCAAAGGATTCTTAAGTTATTGGGCTGACAAGCATTTTGAAGTCAAGGCCCCTGTGACCTTGACCTTTGACCTCAAAATCAATAGGGGTTATTTACTAATCAGGGCTAACCTTCATTATTGAATATGATAGATACTCAAGGCCCCTGTGACCTTTGACCTGGTGACCTCAAAGTCAATAGGGGTCATCTACTAAGCGTGACTAACCTCCATGCCAAAAATGAAGACTGTGGGTCAAAGGATTCTTAAGTTATTGGAGGGACAAGCTTTTTGAAGTCAAGACCCCTGTGACCTTTGACCTGGTGACCTCAAAATCAATAGGGGTCATCTTCTAATCATGACTAACCTTCATGCCAAACTGAAGACTGTGGGTCAAAGGATTCTTAAGTTATAGAGAGGACAAGAAAAAAATTGACGGACGGCCGGACAGCCGGACGGACAAGCTGATTCCAGTATATCCCCCTTACAACTTTGTTGTGCGGGGGTATAATTATGTGTTTCTTCTCAAATGCCCTCCCATGCATTGTTTCAAGTACACAAAGGCACTGGGTAGAACCAAACAGTAAAGCTTGAAAATTGCCAAATAACCTTAACAGTGTTGGTGCAACTTGAATCCCAACCAAATAAAACATTTCTGATTTGACTTTTACCAATATCACACAGATCTTTTAGCAACCTGATGAACCATCATGTATTGCCCTTGAAATAGCAAAAACTGGTATATTAGCCTTGCCTGATGTGCAGTTATATTCTTGATTTGAAGCTGTGATCAATACTTCCTTTAGCTTTTAAAAAGCAATACAGTAAAAACCCTTAATTAAGACCACCATCAGGACTGGACAAAGTGGTCTTAATTGCAGGGTGGTCTTAATTGTGAATATTTATATCATTTCTTACATACTTTATGATCATGATTTATCTAAGTCATTTTGTGTGAACAAACAATATGTATCTTAACCTGCAAATACAATATAAAAGTATGTTCTAATGTTACATCTAATGGGAAGAAAACATATTTCTGAAGAAATTTAATATCAAATTCTATTTGATCTGAATTCAATATTAATTATCACATGATGTACATAATTTACCCATCAAATAAGAAAATATTTCTTCACAAAATCAATATGCTTAAAGCTACATTAAACCACTCTAAAATTTACTTTCTCACCTTATTTCATACAATATCCCAAAAATATAAGGTGTTTATGACACCTTGAGAAATCAAGTGCCATGCCTAAGAGCATTCAAGCAGATAATAACATAACAACAAATTAAGGATCTAGGTAGGTATTGACTTTAAATCAGTGGTCTCAATAGTGGGGTTATATAAAGAACAAAACAAAGAATTGAGACTGAATCTGGTGGTCTTAAAACTGGATAAGCGAGGTGGTCTTAATTCTGGATCATGTAACAATTGACATCAAGAACAGAACATTCTGTTCTTATAAAAAATGGCCTTAATAGCAGGGTGGTCTTAATAGAAGGGTGGTCTTAAGGAGGGATTCTACTGTATATGAAATACTATGGTCTTTGTTTTAAACTGCTTAATTTGACTTCTAACTGGATGCTGTTTTTTCCAGTTTGAGCAGTCTGGGTTGACATTAGGTGATCAGAAGGAATATTTCAGCAACCACACAAATTATAAACAGCTTAAGAATGCATTAATCAAATATGTAACAGACTTTTCAATACTTCTGGGAGCAGATGAAGATGTTGGAAGTTCTGCCAAAGATCTTTATGACTTCGAACAGAAATTAGCTATGGTAAGTAAATTGTGTTAGTATGGTACATGTATAATTTTTAGCTTGTCTGTATATAGTTTATAAATGTATGTATGCAGAAATATCGTTTGAAATATAGAATACTCAAACCTTCTTTTAGGCAAGAGAACATAACGGTCATGGTCATGGACTTTTGAATATTAGTTAGGCACCTTTATTGACTTGAAAGCTCTAAAACACTAAAACAATTATTCTTAACAGCTCTTGCTATTGAATTTATCCATAAGAAATGCATGTGATTGGTGATTTTGTCGATGGGGTAATATGGTCATAAAGGGGTCACTTTTATGGTGACAGCTGAGCTAAAAATAATATGTTGGTAAGTTACTCTTAAATCTTTATTGGGGAACTAGCAGCTACTGGCGAATAAAAATAGATAAGTATTGGTACAGACAAAGACAGGAAAGTATTAGTACAGAAAAAGACAGGTAAGTATTGGTACAGACAAAGACAGGAAAGTATTAGTACAGAAAAAGACTGGTAAGTATTGGTACAGACAAAGACAGGAAAGTATTGGTACAGAAAAAGACTGGTAAGTATTGGTACAGACAAAGACAGGAAAGTATTGGTACAGAAAAAGACTGGTAAGTATTGGTACAGACAAAGACAGGAAAGTATTGGTACAGAAAAAGACAGGTAAGTATTGGTACAGACAAAGACAGGAAAGTATTAGTACAGAAAAAGACAGGAAAGTATTAGTATAGAAAAAGACAGGTAAGTATTGGTACAGAAAAAGACAGGAAAGTATTAGTACAGAAAAAGACAGGTAAGTATTGGTACAGAAAAAGACAGGAAAGTATTGGTACAGACAAAGACAGGAAAGTATTAGTACAGAAAAAGACAGGAAAGTATTGGTACAGAAAAATACAGGAAAGTATTTGTACAGAAAAAGACAGGTAAGTATTGGTACAGAAAAATACAGGAAAGTATTTGTACAGAAAAAGACAGGTAAGTATTGGACTATTCTCAAAGCTTGATATTTAAACAAGAGCCTTGATAATGGATTTTTTTCAGTTCAAAAAGGGCCGTAATGCTGTCAAAATCCTTGTAAAAGTTATGGGTCTTGGACAGTGACCTCAAATGAGTGTGTAAAGTTTCAATTCAATTCATTCTAGTAGTATAATAGATACCAACTTGCATGCAAAAACTTAACCAAAGGGTGATGTGATGAAAAAAAAATAGATTAAAACATTTTAACTTATCTCAGCAATCTACAAGAAATTAAATGATAACATGATTGTTTAAGATCATGTATGTATAAAAAAATCAAACAAGGAAATTTGTAATCAGGATTTTTTCTTTATTTTAACTTTTCAGATACATGTATCCAGGGAGAAATTGTTGGATCCAATACAGAACTATCATAATATGACTTTACAACATTTCCAAGATAATTATTTAGGAGACTGGGTAAATATAACAAGACATTATATTGTGTCTGTTCTAACCTTCTTTGTTGCTATTCTAAAATGATATACTAGTGATGAGTTAATCCGTCACTTGCTGAATTTCTTAAATGGACTTGCCCTGTTACCATTTATTTGGAACTGTCCATTATCAATTTTAGGGATATCAAAATGAAGATTAGTAGTTGATTATATAACAGTATAGAGTCTTGTTCAACTGCATGGATTTGCTAGCTGGTCTGGCTCTAGGCTGGTGACAATTTAGCGTAATCATTTTCAGTTCCAGCAGGTTACAGGTAAAGGAAAAGCAGTGGCTACGTGGTTAAGGTTGCAGACTTTGTATCACATGCCTCTCAGATCTGTTAGTTTGAATCCTGCCAGGGACACTGCATGTGGTGCTCTTTTAAGATATAGTGCAAACTGTAGAAGAATAACTTCCTTACAGTAACAGTGTCATTTTTGCGACAGACGCGCCCTCAGGGGCGTTCAGAGCTTAGTCATCTACACATGGGATTTTGTCTGCTACAATCGCGCAAAGTGTCCTCAACCAATTAACAGCCCAAGAAATAGTACATGAATTTGATCCTTTAAAACTCCCATACTTTGTCGGGATATCTTAAAATTTTCCATATTTAGCCTTTTCAATTTCAAATTAAGTTATCCAAGTTAAAATATGAATGTATATGATTGATTAAAACGTAGTCCCGTAGTATTATTGCGCAATATGCAAATTACTGCCGAAACGATTTACCGCTGTCGAAAAAGTAGGACAGCAAATTATACTATAATAAAGGTGTAAACTCTGAGTTCCAAGAAATTATTAGTAGGAAATAAATATTTCTACATTATAGAAAACATAATTATTAACAAATCAAAAGTTTTTCGTGACTTTAGAATAACTCGCGCATTAATAAAAGAAGAACTATTTTCGTGACTCATACCGCGGGTTTAGCTGAATATTCAGCAGTTATTAACAAATTGGATACAGTACAATTGTTAGTATAAATATCTATTTTTGAAAATGCCTGTAACAAGAGCGTTTTTCAGCACTTTACCACCATGTAGTCTTTCATGGTAATCTTTATTGAAGGAAGTTATAATATCAGTTCTACTTCCGATTCTTGTGGTTTGTTTACATATTTTTCTAGGTCACGATATGAGTTAACCTTCGCTATTCTAAAAATAGATTCTGCTTCACTTGTGCTGATTTTCGGACAGGCGATTAGAGTACACATTATTTATACATGTAATAAACCAGCGGATTACATGCAATACTTTTAGAAATTCTATACAATTGTAAGAAGCAAACAAGTTAAAAATGGAATTTAGTGTGAAATTGAAAAGGACAACTAAACACTGTAGTGCTTAAGTGACATTTAAATTAAAATAAAAACGATGTGCTCTGGCCTCTACATCTTTACGTTGTAAATAAAAAAAATCTAAAAAATACACTATTAATTGCTGATGATTTTAACCAAAAATATTTTTAATGAGACATATCCAAGAGAAATAAAAATACAAATGACTTCTATTTTATTGTCTATATGCCCACTATGATATATATAACACGAAGCAATTCTAAATAGCATGTATAATGTATTATGCTTGAAGTTTATTTGCATGGTTTTATTTTAGAAATATTTCGTTGACAGTTTTTTTTCTATTTACATATCATTTCTTGGAATAAATCGATAAGGACACTGATTTACAAGTTCGACCAGAGTTTTTAGGCATAAATTTCATTCTGTATTTAAATGCTTGAAAGTAGAAAATCTGAATTATATCAGATTGGGACACAAAATATATTGCTCTACAAATCTCGAACTTGTATGGAAAAAATTTTCTCTGTTATATATTTTGTGTTTTGTTTTTTGTTGTTTTTGTTTGCTAAAAAAAGCCTTAATGTCTCTCCGGTTGCATGTCCGTCGCATTCAGTGCTGCAGCACTTTGATTTTTTTTTTTAAATACTATTACACAGTTATTCAACCTCTCTTAAGCAACCTGTAAACAATAACCAAAAATTGTTGACTTCCAAAGGGTGTTGAACTGTAGAGGTTTTACTGTACATATTAATTACAGACAATGTGGTCTCGCTCTTTACGTTTTAATGGTGATTACAGACAATGTGGTCTCGCTCTTAAAGTTTTAATGGTGATGTTTTTTTTATAATTTTTCAGTTAGACTTGAAGACTTATATGCAGGGTGTATTTGGAGATATCAAAACTATTACCATGGATATGGAGATAATAGTATATACACCAGAATATTTTGTCAAGCTTCAGGATATATTAAAAGATACACATAAAAGGTAGGCATTTCCTGTTGTGCTTATTTTAATTTTGTAACAATACACTCTAGAGTAACGCATTTTTCAGATGAGGGGCGTTTATTTGACGGGGGTGGGGTGTGTTAAAAAGGAGTTATACAGCAATTGTTACTGATATGTGTTTTGTTTATTGATAATTCCCCAGTAAATTTTAAAAGTGTTTTGGGAATAGTTTTGCTGATGGCCACCATGATAGAATCGTTTAGGCCAATTACTTAATACGATGTGTCACTTACTTTTATGGATTAAGATTTTCTATGAAATATTTGAATTCCGTCATAGGTAAAAGAAATCTTGTCAGATTTTTCCAGGTGTACACTTGTCTATATATGCAAGCAAGAAGGGGTATAGATTATATAACACATAGGTATAATTTGTCACCTTAGAGAAGTAACTAGTTAACTCCTATTAAATTATGTAAGGAGTTAACCCATTACTGCATTAAGGTGACAATAATATTATATTATGTGGAGTAAGTACTGTCAAACCTGTCAGTTAAGTCCATCCAAAAGAGAGACTGAACATGGTCTTTATAGACAAGTGGTCTTTTTTCTGAAGGATTTAGAAAAGTGGCCTTTATTTACAGGGTGAACATTATTGAAACTTGATCTTGAACACAGTTTTGACTGTTTGTTTTGTTTATTATAGTTTGTTAGCTAACTACATAGTGTGGCATTCTGTAGACGGCCTGGTAGGATATCTAACAGATGACTTCCTGAAAGTAGCATTACAGCTTGATAAAGTGGAGTCTGGAATTAAAGGTATAGATTTTTAATTTATTTACTGAAATTGTTTGTTTACAATAACTTATTTTACAATTATAGTTATGTAAAAGAAATACTATTCCCTCTGGATACCATTATATGTGAAAGAAATATCCTTCAGTGTGGGATGGGCTATACTATATACATGTAGTAAATAGGGAAAACTTTTTCGCTTGGCGTAAACTGTACATGTATATAAATTATTCTATAAAAAATTTGAAGAAAAAAAAAATTATTTATGACAGTTTTCAAGGCACAAATGCTACATGTGATACTTTGAAGATTTTGTAATTTATCTTGTAAATGGCAACACTAAGACGTTTGAATGTCATTGGCAATATTAACGTGTTCATACTATAAGTATAGAACCAGGCCAACCTGCACAAAAGCTTCTTGTCATCAACCTGCAACCTGCTGGAACCACAAGTTATTGCCCTTTGCCACACATCCAAGCTGTCTGACAATGCTCTAAACTTTGGATAGCTCTATTTTTGTGCCCCCATTTTAGTGGCGGGCATTTAGATTTACCCTTGTTCGTCCATCCGTCTGCTCTCTTTTGTGTTGCACGTTACTCAAAAAGTATTTGACCTAGAGTCATGAAACTTTACAGGAATGTTGATCAGCATGTGTAGTTATGCACCTGGGTATTTTCGTCTGGATATTTTTAGTATTTTTAGAGTTATTGCCCTTGACTTAGTAAAATTTTGTAATTTTCAACTTGTGTTGCACGTAACTCAAAAAGTATTTGACCTAGAGTCATGAAACTTCACAGGAATGTTGATCAGCATGTGTAGTTGTGCACCTGGGTATTTTCGTCTGGATAATTTTAGTATTTTTAGAGTTATTGCCCTTGACTTAGTAAAATTTTGCAATTTTCAACTTGTGTCGCACGTAACTCAAAAAGTATTTGACCTAGAGTCATGAAACTTTACAGGAATGTTGATCAGCATGTGCAGTTGTGCACCTGGGTATTTTCGTCTGGATATTTTTAGTATTTTTAGAGTTATTGCCCTTGACTTAGTAAAATTTTGCAATTTTCAAATTGTGTCGCATGTAACTCAAAAAGTATTTGACCTAGAGTCATGAAACTTTACAGGAATGTTTATCAGCATTTGTAGTTGTGCACCTGGGTATTTTCATCTGTATATTTTTAGTATTTTTTGAGTTATTGCCCTTGACTTATAAAATTTTTGCAATTTTCAACTTGTGTCGCATGTAATTCAAAAAGGATTTGACCTACAGTCAAGTGGCGGGCATTTAGATTTACCCTTGTCCGTCCATCCGTCCGTTCTCTTTTGTGTCGCACGTAACTCAAAAAGTATTTGACATAGAGTCATGAAACTTTACAGGAATATTGATCAGCATGTGTAGTTGTGCACCGGGTATTTTTGTCTGGATTTATTTAGTATTTTTAGAGTTATTGCCCTTGACTTATAAAATTTTTGCAATTTTCAACTTGTGTCGCATGTAATTCAAAAAGGATTTGACCTACAGTCATTAAACCTTACGGGAAGGTTGCTCAGCATATTTAGTTTTGCACCTGGGGTTTTGCTTGTGGATTTATCCAGTATTTGTAGAGTTATTTCCCTTGACTTAGTAAAAACCGTTTCATTATGTTGTTATTTGTTCCTTGAGTGCTTGAGTTAGAATCAACGAACTTTACAGGAATAATGATCAACATCACTAAATTACAGGCATAATGATTCACATCACTGTGAAGCTACCCACCTGGGACTTTGCATGTGGATTTTTTTCAGTTTTGTTAGAGTTATTGCCCTTGACTTACAGTAGTATAAATTTGCAATTTTCAACTTGTTCATGCATAGCTCAAAAAGTATTTGACTTGTAGGCCTGAAAGTTTACAAGAATGTTGGTCAGCATGTGTACTTATGCACCTTGGAGTTTGCTTGTGGATTTATTCAGTATTTGTAAAGTTCTTGCCCTTTACTTAGTAAAAGATTTTTAGTTTTCAAAAAATATTTAACCTAGAGTCATAAGATTGACAGAACAGTGGCGCGGTGGGGGCATCTGTGTCCTATGGACACATTTCTAGTTTGTATTGTGTTAATTTTATATCTTTAACTTCGAATGCACTGTTCCTAATTCAAAACAGGGTAAATCTATTGTACCTATTCAGAAGGTTAAGGGTTAACATTGACTTATATATGATTCCTGACATGTTATTTCAGAATACCCTCCCAGATGGAAGAGATGTCTTGCAAAGACAAAATCTGCATTTGGTTTTGCTATTGGAGCATTATATGTGGAGCAAAATTTTGCTGAAAATAGCAAGACAGAGGTACACTGTAGATTGAAATAAATATCTTTTAACTTTTCTTGAAAAATGCTAGAATAAATTAATTGAAAAAGTATAACCAATAAATGACATGATAAAAGTCATGTTTATCACATTATTATATGCCCGAAAGAATTTAGGGCATATTATGTTATACCCCCTGGCGTCCGTCCGTCCGTTAGCAATTTGGTTTCCGGAGTATAACTTAAGTTCCATTTGGCCCACAATATTCAAACTTCATAGGATGATTGTCCATATTGGGTAGAAGACCCCTATTGATTTTGGGGTCACAAGGATTAAGGTCAAGGTCACTATCACCTTAAAACTGAAAACAGTTTCCGGAGCATATCTTAAGTTCCATTTGGCCCACAGTGTTCAAACTTCATAGGATGATTGTCTATATTAGGTAGAAGACCCCTATTGATTTTGGGATCACAAGGTCAAAGGTCAAGGTCATTAGTACTTTAAAACTGAAAACAGTTTCCGGAGCATAACTTAAGTTCCATTTGGCCCACAATATTCAAACTTCATAGGATGATTGTCCATATTAGGCAGAAGACCCCTATTGATTTTGGGGTCACAAGGTCAAAGGTCAAGGTCACTATAGATTTTGGGGTCACAAGATCAAAGGTCAAGGTCACTGTTACCTCAAAACGGTTTCCAGAGCATAACTTAAGTTCCATTTGGCCTACAATATTCAAACTTTATAGGAGGATTGCTATTTGAAGGAGGTAATACTTTATTTAATTTATGTAATTTCTTACAAATGCTTCATCCTTACAAAAAAAAAAACACTTTCAGGCATATAATGCTCGGCCTAGCTTTAGTTTTTGCATATTAATATGCTCATTATCAGTTAATTATAACGTTCTACTAATGTTGCTACAGTAACATAGTAATTATGGCATGTATGCAAAAAAACACTCGAGTCATATAAAAGTTCAAAATCATATTACTTTAATTATATCCTGCTTTAATTGATTTTTAATGAACATTTCATACATAGGTTGAGTCTCTTTTCGAAGAAATCCGTACAGCATTTTTAAAGAACCTTGACAATATAGAATGGATGGATGACAAAACTAGAGCATATGCTAAAGAGAAAGCAGCTAGTGTGAACAAAATGTTGGGATATCCAGATTATATCCTCGACCCAAAAGAACTTGATGAGCACTATGAAAATGTAAGCTAAATGTGTTAATTGAAAAGTTTTTCCTTAATTGTATGTAATATCTTTTAAATATTTCACACTGACTGATGACTGTATATGGTATTTTTGTTAAAAAAAAAAAAATGTTTTAGTCAGGTGTAGTTGAAAGTTATGTCAATGGTTTGTCCACCAGCCGTAACCTTATATATTTTGTTTGAAGATACCTTACATACATTGTATATCTATGAATTAACAGTCATGTAAGGAGATTTTTATAACTGACTCAAAAGCATTTGGAAATATGGTGCTTTATATAAATATGACAGTGTTCAAATGAACATAGATAACACACTGTATCATAGTCACAGCTAAATATGCATAATAGCTTTGATGATATTATATTTAATTATATTGATTATATTGTGTATTTTGGGTCGGAGGCCATTATTTAAAAAATAAAATGTTGTTGTTGTTAAAACTGAACGCATCCCAAGAAAACAATTTTTGGAAAGATAAGATGAATATATAAGATAATTTATAGAGAAATTCTTATAGAAGTGAATGAATTCTGATGAATCCTTAATGTACTGGAACCAGTATGAACCAGTATTGATTAGCCTTTTGTCACCAGTATAGATCCAGGCCAGTCAGCACATCTGTGCAGTGTGACCAATCTGTATAATGTTAGTAGTTCATTTTTTTATAATTTCAAAATTTGATATTGAAACCCCTTCAACTTCAAATGGGCAGTTCTAAATTCAAAACGAGGAAAAACTATTTTACAAATGTATCATGTTTCTTTATATTTTCAGGTGACTCTAGTTGAGGGAAAGCTGTTTGAAAGTAAACTTGCTATTATGATACATGGAAGAAAAAAGAACTTAGGAAAAATAGATGACGTACCGGATAGAAATGAGTATGTTATTTATAGAAGAATCTGTTTTGGACTTCAAATGCACACGTAATGTAAAAGAAATTAAAAATTTTATAAAGGTGTAAAACAATATGATAAAAGGAATGATAAGAAAATGGGTTAGCCTTAAAAATATTGTATGTTAAGTTAAAAGACTTATAAAAAATATTTCCAAGAGTTTGTTTTTAACTTTGACTATTGGAAGAATAAGTCAGGTCATCCTTCCCTATGACAACAAATGGAGCTTAATAATTTATTTATTATGCCCCCATTTCGAAGAAAAGGGGGTATATTGCTTTGCACTTGTCGGACCGTCGGTCTGTCGGTCCGTAGACCAAATGGTTTCCGAGTGATAACTAAAGAACCCTTAGGCTTAGGAACTTCAAACTTGGTATGGTGATTGGTCATGATCAGTAGATGACCCCTAATGATTTTGGGGTCAAGGGGTCAAAGGTCAAGGTCACATTGACCTTGTAAGCAAAAACGGCTTCCAATCAATAACTAAAGAACCTTAAGGCCTAGGAACTTCAAACTTGGTATGGTGATTGGTCATGATCAGTAGATGACCCCTATTGATTTTGGGGTCAAGGGGTCAAAGGTCAAGATCACATTGACCTTGTAAGCAAAAACGGTTTCCGATCAATAACTGAAGAACCTTAAGGCCTAGGAACTTCAAACTTGGTATGTTGATTGGTCATGATCAGTAGATGACCCCTATTGATTTTGGGGTCAAGGGGTCAAAGGTCAAGGTCACATTAACCTCTTGGGTAAAAACTGTTTCGGATCAATAACAAAAGAACCCTTAGGCCTAGGAACTTCAAACTTGGTATTGTGATTGGTTATGACCAGCAGGTGACCCCTATTGATTTTGGGGTTAAGGGGTCAAAGGTCAAGGTCACATTGACCTTTTAGGTAAAAACGGTTTCCGATCAATAACTAAAGAACCCTTAGGCCTAGGAACTTTAAACTTGGTATGGTGATTGGTCATGACCAGCAGATGACCTATTGATTTTGGGGTCAAGGGGTCAAAGGTCAAGGTCACATTGACCTTGTAGGTAAAAACGGTTTCTGATTAATAACGAAAGAACCCTGAGGCCTAGGGACTTCAAACTTTATATGGTGATTGGTCATAATCAGTAGATGACCCCTATTGATTTTGGAGTCAAGGGGTCAAAGGTCAAGGTCACATTGACTTCTTAGGTAAAAACGGTTTCCGATCAATAACTAAAGAACCCTTAGGCCTAGGAACTTCAAACTTGGTATGGTGATTGGTCATGACCAGCAGATGACCCCTATAGATATGATATTGGGGTTAAGGGGTCAAAGGGCAAGGTCACATTGACCTTGTAGGTAAAAATGCTTTCCAATCAATAACTTAAGAACCCTTAGGCCTAGGAACTTCAAACTTGGTATGGTGATTGGTCATGACCAGCAGATGACTTATTGATTTGGGGTCAAGGGGTCAAAGGTCAAGGTCACATTGACCTTGTAGGTAAAAACGGTTTCCGATCAATTAACTGAAAACGCTTAGGCCTAGGAACTTCAAACTTTGTATGATGATTGGTCGTGACCAGCAGATGACCCCCATTGAGTTTTGGGTCAAGGGGTCAAAGGTTAAGGTCATGACCAGTAGATACTTGATAACCCTTATTAATTGTTTGATCACTGGGTCAGAAGTCATGCATAATAACCTTATCACATGACTAATTGGCTGCTGATAGGGGGCATACATGTTTTACAAACATATCTTGTTTATTTAAACTTTGTAATTGAATTCCTTTATCTGTCTAAGTTTTCTTTTTCATCTTCATTATTGTAGGTTACCTAACCAGGATCTATATCCTGTTGTTGTATTTTTGTTGGATTATTCCCCTTTGATAACTTAGAAAATGTTAATTTGAATGTTCACATAAGTCTTTACAGTATAACTTCTGATCAGTTATTGACCGAAAAATCATTAACACTAGCATAGACTTTCACTGCTGTATTTTTGTTGGATTATTCCCCTTTGTTATCTTAGAAAATATTCATTTGAATTTTAATAAAAGTCATTTGAGTATAATTTCTGATCAATTCAATTCAATATCTTTATTGTACAAGAGGCCTCCGGCCCATACACAGTATATACAATATACAATACAAATTGGCAATACGAATTTCTAATACAATTATAAAATACAATCTGAATATAAATTATTCAAAACATTGAAGAAAATTATCCCTTTCTTTCATTGCATAATAAATATACATAGCAACATTACGTATCAATGACTCGTCTTCAGTTGCCATCGAAGAGTAGAACTTTTGAACATTCGGATATTGATAATAATACAATTATTGACTAAGATAATTTACTCTAGGGTTGACCTTCCCTGCTGTTTTTTGTTTGATTATTCCCCTTTGTTAACTTAGCAAATATTCATGTGAATGTTAATAAAAGTCTTCATACTTTAACTTTCGATCAATTATTGACCACAATCATTTACCCTAGTATGGACCCTCCCTTGCTGTATTTCCATTTGTGTATGCATTGTCCTTGCCTAACTGTCACACACACATAAAAACCATGCAACCTTGGCAGAGGGACCCTCTGTTACACAATTACCTCTTTACATCAGCCGTATCATATCTTTCAAAAATATGAATTGACAATTAATTTTACCACTCTAGAGCAACACCTCTAAACAACAACTAAAATGTTTGTCTCTCAAAGGGTATTGCTATACACAGGTTGAACTGTACAGCTCTTGTTTTTCTTCCTGATGAGGATGTTGAAATCTGTCCTATGACTTTTAATCAGTGTTATTATAACAATAATTCCAAAACATTCAGTTAATGATATTACTTTATATAATATACTTATAAATGAAATATCGAGAAATATTGATGAAATAAAATGCATAATTTCATTTTACACAGTTTCACTGTAAAAATTTATTTTTCACTGCAGTGAAGCATATTTTCCATATTTTCACTGGTGTCTTGCGGGACTACCTTCCTCTAAATTTGGCCAGTACTTATACTGTAAGAGAGGTCTTTCAAATCTTAAGGTCAAGAAAGAGAAAAATGAATATAATAAACAGAAAATTCAAGTTTATTCTATAAATACAGGATTTATTTTCATCTTGTGGTATGAAAATTATTATATTTCACTTCTTGCTACTGCCACTCATGAAATATTTATTTACATACCACTCGATGAAAATAAATCCTATATTTATAGAAAAAACTTGAATAAACTTATATATCTCATTGATAAAATTCTGTATTACACAAATGAATTTATATTTTACAGGTGGGATATGTACCCAATGGAGGTGAATGGTTACTATAGCTCTGATTTCAACCATATAGCTTTCCCCGCCGGAATTCTACAGCCACCTCTATTTAACCCAACATCTCCCAAGTAAGTGTTCTTTTTTTACTATTTATCGATTCATTTATCAAAGTTGTTTATTGAGTGATTATTTAAGAAATAATATCGGTCTGGATCGAACCTGTGGCAGTAGTGTATGTTAGATATTATTTTAGCATTTTATGAAAAGAAGACATTGTAAGAACAGAAAATATCAATAAAAATGTGTTATTATTGTTGTCTTAAAAAAATGTAAACTATATTATCTAGGGAGAAAAAAAAACAGCCGCATATATATGTAGTCCCTAATAAGTGTTTATTGGCAGTTTAACACCATTTTTTTTCTTTGTGTATAGTAACAAAAAGAATCGGGATTTAACAATTTGATCATTTTTGGTGGAATTATGGCTATTTTGTTATTTTTCTTTTGTCAGATATAAATGTTGGTGTTAAACCTGATTTTGTTAAAATTTCCTCTCAATCCCTTATGATCTAAATTGATGAATGTTCTACTTAAATATTTCATATTTGATAATTTCAGATCATTTAATTTTGGCTCATTTGGAATGATATGTGGTCATGAGCTTACACATGGATTTGATAATAGAGGTAAAATTTGGTTTATTATACATGTATATAATTTTGTTTTTATCCTTGCCTGATTATAAGAGGCAACTAAATTGGTTTTAATTACTGGAGTCTATTCAGCAGGTAAGGTGCTTTTGACCCCTGGTGTTGCCTTAAGTAACATGTTAGAAAAAATCATCTTTCCTGTTTTGACGCCATTTGACCTAAATTGTGTTGATGCGCCGTAAAGCCAACCCAACCGAAATTATTTTTTGGGTTTAAATGGGAATTTAACAGTATTTTAATTATGTACCAAAGGCAGTAACCAGTTGCTGGTATTCATTTACTTTATCAACATAAGCTTGATTATTGGTTAATATACAACATTACCTTTCATATGAGGCTGGACTTACTATTGTCCTACTTCTTTTTTAGGAGCTGTTTGTTCTATTTATCTATGCTATTTTAAAAACTGTGTGTTTTTCTTTACTATGCCTTTCAGTTTATAGAATGGAAACCAAATTTCTATATTTCAACAATAGTAGTGGTGGCATCGCCCAATGGATTTTGCATCAGACTTAAGTAATCTAAAAAATTTGCTGGCCATGCGGATCCAAACCCCATCTGGGGCAATTCAAGCTGTTGTTTCCATAAGCAAGAAACTTTTTACACATTGCTATGTACTGTTTGGTTCCTAGACATGGATCCAAGAGTTGTCCAATAAGCTTATAGCTTCCAGCATAATCAAACTAAAACAAATTTGTATAAACTAACAATTTCAAACAATGTAATGTGACTCACTGATATATCTTAGTATCATATGGAACTGCAAAAATACGATAAATATTTTTATTTTGCAGGTAAAGATTTTGACAAGGAGGGTAACATGGTAAACTGGTGGACAAAATCTTCAACAGACAATTTTAACACACTTACAAAATGTTTTGTAGATTTTTACCATGACTACACAGTAAATGGAACAAATGTAAGTTCTCAATAGATGTTATACGGAACTTGGCAAATGTGGGTTTTTCCCAGCTAATCTGTAGGTACAAACTTTTTACCTTTAAAGCTTCATGGTGCACTACCCGTCACAATAGATTAGCCAACAATTTTCGCTTATTTTCAAAGCTGTAACTGTAAAAGTTCGTTCGTACCTAAGGATTAGCTGGGAAAACCCGAATATTCATAATTCTGGAGTGAGTCTATTACTATGCTCTAATGGTTTATTTTAAAGCAGCATGCCTCCAGATTTATGCTAAAGTTCATGAAAATTAAAAAAATAAATGTATTTAAAGTAAAATATTATGAAGTGAACAAAGAAAGTAATTTACACATTACAGATAGCACTTTCAATCCAAATAAATTACCAAAAAGAAGTCAACATAATGCAAAAATAGCCCTCACTGTGGTAGTCACACAGTAGAAATATGGTGAAAATACCACAAAATCAGTCATTAATCACACATAAAATCTAAGTAATTGCTTAAATCTTACACCATTTTAGGGGCCAGTTACACAGACGGTCGGTCTCCTATTGGTCATTTAATTTTAAATTTACTCGCTGTTACGATCGGTTGTCATGCGTGATTTTATTTCTGGTTTTCTTTGTAAACGACTATCGGTGACAGAAAGCAAACTCAAACGGGGTTAGATCGGTGATAAAAATGCTGAAATACTATCGGCTTTTATTGTTTGTAAATCGGAGCAAAATCGGGCGTAACGCTGATTAATTGGTGTTTGACAAGTGGTTATCAGTGGTTAAACACTTTCCGTCAGATATGGCCGGTGATTCATATTTGGTTATCTTTGTCCGATTGGCGATATCGATGATTAAGAGCTTGCATATCTCTTGATATAGGTTGCTGTCGGTTATTTGTAAAATATTTTCACCGATCGAGAATTTTAAACATGTTTAAAAATCCCAATCGGTAATTTTTCACCAATGAAACTTATCTTTCCCCAATAGCAGTTGATAGGTGGAAAACAGGTGACCAATAGGTGATATCGGTGTTAATTACGTTGTCATCGGTTCACTCCATAATTTGGCTAAAAAAACTACCGATCAATCACCGATGGCTTTGTGTAACTGGGTTGTTACTTTTCTTAGAATCAAAGTACTTTTTTCTTAAGTTTGTTTATCTTGAAATATTTTGGCTCATCTCGAGGAATGCAGCTTTAAACATATTTATTAACCTTTGGCCTTTTGGGGGGCAACCATATAAAATGAAACAAATGCAGCAAAGACCCCGAACATCCGTATGTTGTCAAGGGTCTGCACCTTGGGTTTTTGGTACTTTTAAAAAAACCCCGATAAATTTTTTTGTCCGGGTTTGAAAGATGGACAAGTCTATTGAAGATATTTAGTGAGGAAAGGATTGTGATGAAAGCTTTAAAAATAAAAATTATGTGAGTCAGATAAAAGTTGGCTCCCTTTAACATTATAATACTGATGCCACATAAGGAAATATGACTGTGATCCAAATAGATCGCAAACTATGATTCCTGGGTCAAGGAAAACACTTTATTGATGTTTTGATGTTGTTTGAAGGATAGATGTTTTTAAGTGTTAAGGGGCTAATATTTGACTATATTTGTAGTTAAATGGTGAGACAACTCTAGGAGAGAACATAGCTGATAATGGAGGTATGAAGATGGCGTATCTAGCCTACAGATCATGGTTAGGGAAGTCACGTGAAGCTGACTCTCTAAATTTACCTGGCATGCAGTACAACTCTGACCAGCTGTTCTTCATAGGAATGGCTCAGGTATTAATTTCTTGTACCTTATAATTTGAGTATTGAATAAAAAAAATACTGATGATGATGATGATGGCAGTGATGATGATGATGGTTATGAAAAATGATGATGATATTCATCATTAATGATGACAAACTTTAATTTTGTAATTAAAGTTGTTAATGATGATGATGGTGATGATGATGGTGATGATGATGATGATGATAAGAATATTTATCAGAATAATAATTGAAATAGTGATGGTAATAACAATAATTTTTATGAATATATAATTATAATACATGTAATTATAAGAAGAAGAATAGTGATAATTATTACAAAAATGATAAGCCTCTTGTGGCTGAGGCTTAAAATTGCAGTCTCTGTTTATCCCTGTATGATTGTGAGAAAAACTAAAGGGGGCCCTGAGTCTATTCCAATGGGGTTTTTACCCCTTTTTGGAAAAATTTTCCCCCAAAATTCAAAGTCAGTTTTTTATTCCCCAAAATTCCCCCAAAAATTTTGGAAAAATTTGAAAGTTTTCCTTTTTTTAAAATTATTTTTCCCCCCAAAAAATAATAAAAAATTTCCTTTTTAAGAAAACAACAAATTGAAAAAAACCCAAAAACACCCTTTTTTTGTTTTCCCTTTTTTCTCAATTTTTAACAAATTTAAAACAATGTTAAAAGCTGGCTTTAAAAAATAAAAAGGGGGGCCAATATTAGTGGTAAAATTTTAAAAAAAAAATTTAATTTTTTTTTGATTTTGTAGGGGAAAAAAAAAAAACTTTTAACACACCCGAAAATTTTTCAACCCCTTTAATCTTCCTGCAAACCAAGTTCCGACAGAGGAAAGTTTCTTTTGACTTGCCCGAAGGTTTTAACCCCTTCAACTAACAATATTAATTTCAGGCATGTTTACCACCGCCATGCCGCAACTTTTTTTATATTTTTGTTTAATATTTTCAGGGTTTTTGGAAAAACCATTCAATTCCAAATATTTTGGGGCATTTGACTGCCTAAGAACTCTCCAAGAATCCTGAGAGAAGTGTACAGTATGGAACCCAAAAGGCAAATTTACGCAAAGTGATATTCAAATTTTTAGTGTACACCAAATGTCCCTTTCTTTGTTTTATAAATTTTAAGTCATCATTAAAATCGTTTAAAGTTTTCTTGTTTTGAATAAATTTTTGTGCTGATTTTTTAATTTTATTGTTTCCCTGCAATTTCTCTTTGCATATAGTCTTTTATTTATAAAAAATATGACCAAGAAATGAAAAAAACCACATCGGGTTTTTAAAAAACCCAAAAAAGGATTTTTTTTCACATGGGAAGCTGATTAGATAATTTATCAAATTAAGGTCATTGGATCTACTCATGTGCCAGTTTATGCCTGAATTATTGCACTACTGGTCGTCTGCTCTTTTCCTGTCACAGCCAGAAAAAGCGGGAAAATTGTCATACGGCACTCACTGTATTGGTGTGACTTAAAAGTCCAATCAAGATAGGGAAGAAAAGAATACCAGTGTTAAATATACAATTATAATATGATATGACTTTGTTGAAAACAATGTAGTTAAATATATATGCATGTATACTTTAAAACATGTGGTGGGTTTTAGAATAAAAGGGTCATTGTAAATGTACCTAGATCTTGTACATTTACTCAGTTGTGATAGATTTTGCATTATTTGGGTATCTGATATATGATCAGAGCCAAGCAAATTCATCTGCAGCTGTGTGAAAGTCCTAGACATACATTATTTTTATGATATTGTACAACATGACTGTGATTTGAAAATAATACTTGATCTGAATTTGAAACATGGTTGTGAAATTTCTCTGATGTTTATTTTTGTATAGTAAATATTATTTTATTGTATTTTGTTTAAAATTATAAGTTGGTGTTGCTTGCTGCAAGTTCTGTATGAGCCAGCAATATGTACAATGTTTAACTTGTGCATTCTGCTATGTGTGCATCTATTTTAATGTGCAATTAATTTTGAAGTGTGACCTTTTATTTATTTATGCACTTGTTAGTTTAAACAGATAGTTTGTTTATTCATTTATTTGTTTTTAGCTCACCTGAGCAATGCTCAGGGTGAGCTATTGTGATGGCCCTGTGTCCGTCGTGCGTCGTCATGCGTCGTCAACTTTTGAACATTAACAACACCTCCTCTGAAACCAATGACTGCACATCAACCAAACTTTACAGAAATGATCCTTGGGTGGTCCCCTTTCAAAGTTGTTCAAATGGTTCCGGTCTGTTGCATATGTAGGTCATAGGGCCAGAAAAGGATTTCAAAAAACACAAAATTAAAAAATCTTCTTGTCTGAAAGTACATGGGCCAGAGCTTTGATTTTTGGTATATGGTATCATCTATGGGTCCTCTACCAAAGTTGTTCAAATTTTGTCCATAGTGTCAAAATTGGCCCCGCCCCGGGGGGTCATAGGTTTTTCCTTATATGTATATAGTAAAATCTAAAAAAATCTTCTTCTCTGATTTGGCAGAGGCTACAGATTAGATATTTGGCATGTAACATTGTGTAGTAGACCTCAATCAAGATTGTTCAAATAATGGCCCTAGGGTCAAAATTGGCCCCGCCCTGGGGGTCATTGATTTTCATTACATACATATAGTGAAAACTTGAAAAATCTTCTGGTCTGAAAGTAAATGGCCTAGAGCTTTGATATTTGGTCTATGGTATCATCTGAAGGTCCAATACCAAAGTTGTACAAATTTTGTCCCTAGTGTCAAAATTGGCCCCACCCCGGGGGGTCATAGGTTTTTCTAATATGTATATAGTAAAACATAAAGAAATCTTCTTCTCTGAATTGGCAAAGGCTACAGGTAAGATATTTGGCATGAAACATTGTGTGGTAGACCTCTACCAAGATTGTTCAAATAATGGCCCTCGGGTCAAAATTGGCCCGGCCCTCGGAGGTCATTGATTTTCATTATATACATATAGTGAAAACTTGAAAAATCTTCTGGTCTAAAAGTAAATGGCCTAGAGCTTTGATATTTGGTCTATGGTATCATCTATATGTTCCTTGTGTGAAGCCTTAACAAAGTTGTTCAAAGAATTCCATTCCATGCAGAACTCTGGTTGCCATGGCAACCAAAAGAAAAAAACTTTAAATATCTTCTTCTAAAAAACCCAAAGAGCTAGAGCTTAGATATTTGGCATGAAACATTTTCTAGTGAGTGTCTACCAAGTTTGCTCAAATAAAAGCCCTGGGGTCAAAATTGGCCCCGCCCCAGGGTGTCATTGATTTTCCCTAGATGCATATAGTATAAACTTAAAAAATCTTCTTTTAAAGAATCCAAAGAGCTAGAGCTAAGATATTTAGCATGAAACATCTTCTAATGGGTGTCTACCAAGTTTGTTCAAATAAAAGCCCTGGGGTCAAAATTGGCCCCGCCCCAGGGGGTCATTGATTTTCCCTAGATGCATATAGTAAAAACTTAAAAAATCTTCTTTTAAAGAATCCAAAGAGCTAGAGCTAAGATATTTATCATGAAACATGTTCTAATGGATGTCTACCAAGTTCATTCAAGTAAGAGCCCTGGGGTCAAAATTGGCCCCGCCCCAGGGGTCATTCATTTTCCTTATATGTTTATAACAAACACTTTAAAGATCTTTTTTGAAAAAAAAAAAAAAGCAAATAGCTAGAGTTTAGATACTAAGGCATGAAACATCTTCTAAGTGAGTGTCTTCCAAGTTTGTTCAAATAAAAGCCTGGGGTCAAAATTGACCCCGCCCGGGGGTCATTAATTTTCCTTATATGTGTATGACAAAAACTTACAAAAATCTTCTTTGAAAAAACTCAAATAGCTAGAGTTTAGATATTAAGCACGAAGCATCTTTCTAGTGAGTGTCTACAAAGATTGTTCAATAAAACCCTGGGGTCAAAACTGGCCCTGCCCCAGGTGTGTCATTGTTTTTAACTATATGTGTAAAGAAAAAAACTTGAAAAAAGCTTCTTTTAAAAAACCCAACAAGCTAGACCTTAGATGTTTAGCATGAAACATCCTCTAATGGGTGTCAACCAAGTTTGTTCAAATAAAAGCCCTGGGGTTTAAACTGGCCCCGCTCCGGGGGCCTATGTACAGGTGAGCGACTTTAGGGCCATCATGGCCCTCTTTTTTTAGTTTATTAATGAATATATAAATAGTTATATGTTTGCATCCATTTGTGTATGCATTCATTAGTTTGTATGTCAATTTATTGTGTGTGTGGGATGTACATCAAATGTTTCTACAACAGCATGTTTATGTATTCATAGGTTGTGTACATGTATTTTTATGATTGATTACTAATTTATGCACCAAGTGTTTGTAAAACCATTTCTCCATACATTGTGTGTTTTCATTTATGAGTCCAGCCATTTTTGTATAGCCAACTCATTGGTAAAATTTTAAATGACATTGTAGATATTAAAAGTCAAGGTCTTTACTTAAAGGTCAGGGGTCACAAATTAGCCTTGACATAAGTTTGTATATGTTCTCAGAGTGTATAATTGTTGTTTTGTGCTATTTACAATTTATTTACAAGGATTTTTGGGGTGATTTCTGCATAAGCTCAATAAATAATTACTATGCAAGAGGTGTACTAAAAATTAGAAATTGTTTTATTTCTCTTACAGAAATCCATATAGATGTGATATGTACATGTTCATTTGAACACCATTTATTCTTTTTATTGCTTTTATGTGAGAAATTGTATTTCCATATAAATGATTATATCTGCATGTTCAATGTCCTCTTTAAGATGTTGAATGGTTATATGACCCAATATAAATGGCTGAAAGGTTATATAACCTTAGCTGACCATTTATACAGGGACATATACTAGTAATCAATAATTAGCAATTTGTTAAAGAATCTCAAGATTTTGTTTGAATTTATATTTTTACTGAGAGGAATACTCTGTATATAGGTCATATAGCATGTACATGTATACTGTATATAGGTCAGTCAAAGGTCATTATTGAATTTGCTTTAACTTTCCTGTTAATTGTCTTTATTATTACAGCATTGCTTGTTGTGAAGGTTATAATACAATTAGCTTTATATTCATGCTGTACAATGGCAATATTGTTAGTCATAAAGATATTGAATGGTTATATGACCCAGTATAAATGGATGAAAGTTTATATAACATTAGCTGACCATTTATACAGGGGCATATAATCTATAAATTTGTAATAACTGTAAAATTACTTCCTTTGATTTTGATGAATTACACACTTTATTAAGATATAAACCACTCATGAATTTACGGCATTATAGAAATTTAAAAATTGACCAATTAAAATCAGTTTAACAAACATACTGTATCGTATAAAATAACTACAATAACTACAATATGGTCCTATTCACATGTATAATGTACATTTTATAGTGCTAGAAATATTGAATTTACATTTGGTCATGATAATATGTTGTGTTATTGCAGGATACTGCAAACCCCTGCTGAAAGTCCACCTCAAATTATTAGGCAATTGTTTATAACTCTTATTTTGAATTGATGCAGTTAAATTAGATTGTTCCCTTTGATGTCATTTGACCTTTTATACTGAATCTTCATTTATTTTCACATTTATTGGTTTGTTACTTAAATAATTGACACAATAAAATGTTCAATACGAGTAAACCAGGGATATATGTATTATATATCCCTTAGATTACTACCTGTTAGCCAATGAATAAATGTATTTTTCATTGGCCAAATATAGTCTATATAGTTTATGTATTTTAATATTGAAATCCCTTAAACTTTGAATGGACTGTTCCAAATTCAAAGCTGGGCAAGTCCATTGCACAAATTATACAGGTTAAGGGGATTGGGGACTTCTTTGTGTGAGAGACTATTTAAATGTAGGAGCCTGTGTGGCGTGCTGGTGAAGGCAGCTAGTACTGGTAAACTGCTTGACAGCCTGCCCAGGAACGATGCGGTGGCTGACCTGTGCTCTGTTAATTCAACGTGGCTTACTGCCGTGATTCGGAGTGAATACCAACACAACCACACGTGCTGGTTAGTGGTGAATAGGTCAATTGTAACTAATACTTACAGTTACACTGTTTGGTGTAATATTATGAATATTATACTTTTGTTTATTTGAAATCTATGCAATTAGACTTTACATTCATATTCAATTTGTTAAATTAAGCTTTAATCTTAAAATGTACATGTATATCGTTGCTGTTGTTGTTGTTCAACTGTTGAATTGTTTCTTTTAACTAAGTTACATTCCTTTACTGATATATACATTGTATAAGAAATATTTTTGTACATGAGTATACAGTCTTTTTCATGTTTTATAAGTGTTATTTTGAGAAGAAAAAAAGATACACTGAAATTGAATAATTACATATTAACTTCAATGAGGAAATAAACTGTCATTAAATTTTGTATTTGTTGTAATTGTTTGCTTCCTAATTAATTGTTTGAATTTAAAGTGAAGATTACACCAGGGTGGTTATTCTATGAAATTATGTTATAGAAATGCTGTAAAATGAAAAAAAAAATCACCACCAAGTTTTGCTACCTTAAAAAATGTTTATTATACCCCCACAAACGAAGTTTAGGGGGGGTATATAGGAGTCAGCTTGTCGGTCAGTCGTTCCATCGGTCCATCCACATCATGGTTTCCGAACAATAACTAGAGTTTGGAATGAGGTATTGTAATCAAACTTGGTATATAGCAACCTTATGTGAAAACACTGGTTGGTATTGCATTTGGACCCCCTGGGGTCAAGGTCAAGGTCACTGTTACTAAAAATAGAAAAATGGTTTCCGGACAATAACTTGAGTTAGGAATGAGATATTGTAATCAAACTTGGTGTATAGCAAGCTTATATAAAGACCTGGGCTGGTATTGCATTTGTGCCCCCTGGGGTCAAGGTCAAGGTCACCGTTACTAAAAATAGAAAAATGGTTTCCGGACAATTACTTTAGTTAGGAATGAGATACTGTTATCAAACTTGGTGTATAGCAAGCTTATATGAAGACCTGGGTTGGTATTGCATTTGGACCCCCTTGGGTCAAGGTCACCGTTACTAAAAATAGAAAAATGGTTTCCGGACAATAACTTGAGTTAGGAATGAGATATTGTTATCAAACTTGGCTTATAGCAGGCTTATATGTAGACCTGGGTTGGTATTGCATTTGGGCCCCCCTGGGGTCAAGGTCACTGTTACTAAAAATAGAAAAATGGTTTCCGGACAATAACTTGAGTTAGGAATGAGATATTGTAATCAAACTTGGTGTATAGCAAGCTTATATGAAGACATGGGTTGGTATTGCATTTGGACCCCCTTGGATCTAGGTCAAGGTCACCATTACTAAAAATAGAAAAATGGTTTCTGGACAATAACTGGAGTTAGGAATGAGATATTGTTATCAAACTTGGTGTATAGCAAGCTTATATGAAGACCTGGGTTGATATTGCATTTGGACCCCCTGGGGTCAAGGTCACTGTAACTTAAAATAGAAGAATGGTTTCCGGACAATAACTAGAGTTAGGAAAGAGATATTGTAATCGAATTTGGTGTATAGGAAGCTTATATGAAGACCTGAGTTGGTATTGCATTTGGACCCCTTAGGGTCAAGGTCACCATTACAGTGTTACTAAAAATAGAAAAATGGTTTCCGGACAATAACTAAAGTTAGGAATGAGATATTGTAATCAAACTTTGTGAAAAGCAAGCTTATTGGGAGACCCCAGTTAGGATTACAATTAATTGAAATATTTCTTTGTACACAGTTGATAGTTTGTGTTCAAATTTTTCTTCAGACTACTTATTTTTCAAAAAGTCAAAGTTGCTGGTGGGGGTATTAATCACGTTCAGTGATTGGTCTAGTTTATTTTGAAATTACAAGAAGTATGAATAAAAATTTTTAAAATGTTAAATGCGCGAATCAGTTCGAAAGGTTGATTCTCGAAATATTGTCCTCACAAAAATATTTGTTTTTACAGTAGGTAATTTATACCTGTGTGTATTTTTTTCTGAAATACAGCTTGTATTGCATGAAGAGATATTATGAGGAAGTGAGAAAATTAGTACAGCATCAGTTAACATGCCACTGTGATCAAAATTCAGAAGGAAAACCGGTATAACATACCAATTTGCATTAAATCGACTTTATTGACCTTGAGAGAAAATTGGTAGAGCATGCCACTGTGCCTTCAATGGTCACTTTTGACACGGAGTGAAAACTAGTTTCAATATGCCGGTGTATTTTCTGTCACAGAAAGAAAGCACGTAAATGTGCGCTAAATGGCCGTTTTTAACACTCCGCTAGAAAATAAGTATAGCATGCCCATATGCTCTAATTTATTACTAAATTGCCCCCCCTTGTCACCAAGATAATAGTGTGCTAGTGTTCTGTAAATTGCATTTTTTGACACACAGAACAACTGGAACTGCATGATTGTGTACTTTAACAAAATTTACCGATGCCCAAAAAGAAAGAAAAATGATATTGCACGAAAATGTGCACTTACTGGTGTTTTTTTTTTACACACGCAGGGGTAGCGAAATTTGATATCATAATGACGTTACTTAAGTTATATAATAACAGTTGAAGTTGTAGTTAAAACATCGAGGAGGTATACAATGCTCGTAAAAAGTGTCATTTTGAGAGTAACTTTGTCTAGAAATTAAAATTTACTCTTGTGGAATTTGTAAATTAGGATCACATGCAAGATTTAACTCGTCTGCCTCTTGTAACAAATCCACTCAAACAATTTACAACACTCTTAAAATTGACACCAAGACATTTGAAGTATAGTACATGTAGTTTAGATATTTTTAGTCGGTTAGTCATTGAGAGGAATTTATGTTGTTCTTTAAGTGATTGGATTATACTAAAATAGCACATGCATACGAAAAAGACTTTAAAGATCTGGAAAGACAAATGTACATGTGCTAGTCTCAATATATGTTTCCACTGCAAGACTGACCGATTTTACAAACTGATATTACATAGAAGGGTGACCATTGTCTATATAATAAAAAGCCATGGCGCACAATTTTTTGGGAAAGTACATGCGCATACTGATCTAATTATGTATCTTTAATTTGGCCACATTAAATATTTAAAGTATGCTTGGAGCGTAAATAATCATAAGATTCTAAAACAAAATAATATCTCGATACCGGCTCATACATTGTATAAGTAAAAAGTTGATTTTCTGAATTACCTCCCTTTGGTTTAATATTGAAAGTTACAGCCAGTGTTCGTAGTCAGTGGTTCTACTAAGAAGCATGAATAAAGGCTTCGCAGACTGTCACTGTCAAGCGTCCCTAAAATTCCTGAAAAATCCTAATTTTTTTTCAGTTTGGCTAAAATTCCTAAAATCGCCTTATTTTTTCACTTATTCCTGTTTTTTATATTTTTATTAAAAACATACTCATAACTTTGAAAATGTTTTCATTCTAATTATTTTTAATGTAGTATTTCAGCCAGTAGGCAGTTATTAAACTTTAAGGCTGCCAGTTGACCTTTCAGGTTGATTTTGGTTGTGCCTGGATGTTTATTTCAACAACACCTGATGACTGTGGAACACTGGTAGACACCTTTGCTATGAATAAACTAGAGCATTATTTGTGAGTTACTTTTGTGTCAAATATGCAAAGGTAAGCCCATATCATTAGCTTTCGAGACCATAGTTAAAACATTCAAATTTTAGCAATATGTACCCTAAAATGTCTTAAATATTGCTCTAAAATTTGCCCTAGGCTTTCGTGATCTTAAAACCCAACAACAACAATAACAACAAATGGAAATTAAGGGAAATGCCACCTGCACAACATTACCACCCTCTTTATATTTACTTATCTGCTTAATTCTAGAATAAGAAGTAAAATTCCCCTTAAACTCTATATGGATAGATCCAAATTAAGCACAGGACACGTCCATTACGTAAAGTTAGGAGGGTAATGGATTGATATTGAATATAAACATGCAAATGCACGCATGACAATCTCATGATTTGTGCATGTCATTTTTATTAGATGTTAAAGTTTGGACTAATTTATAATCGTTCGTTGTTGAAAAACGACGAATATTTGTTATACGCCTCCTCAAAATCTACTATCTTATTTCACACACTTAATTCATGTCAGCAAATTGTCCTGGTTAAATAAATATTTTTATCAAATGTTGTTATCACTGTCATGCTTCAACTTTGCTATTTTTATTATTTGATTAAGAGTTTATGAATTTACGTTTCGTTCAAATCTCAACTCAACTCAACTCAACTTTATCTTATAAGTAATTAAAGGTAGGCTATCCAGCCCACAATAAACATCAGTATAAGTGCACTAAGATATACGAATATAAACATGTCTGTATTTCCATTAATTCTTAACTAAAACCATAAGTAAAAAGTAGTGATTTTACTTTAGATGCTCAACAAATTCCAGCAACTTCGTCTAAGGGCTCAAACATTTTGTAACATTGTCTCGGAT